CGGGACGGGACTGTCGTGGGGCCTGCTGGCGTGGGTCATTGTGAGCGTTCACAGAGAGAATGTGTGGAAAGCGCTCAGCATGGCGCCTGGCACTGGGAAGCAGCAGGGAGTGAAGAGCCACAGCTGCAGGCCTCAGCCTCCTGACACGGACGATGACAACACAGGGCCCATGTTCTGTGCACTGAGAGGTGGCATCAGAGGTGGAATTTCACACAGGAACTCCCTGCACCCTCAGCACAGAGTCCCTGAACCAATGTTGCCAGGGGCAGGGGGCGGCTCAGAGAGGTTACATGATGCGCCCAAGAGCACACAGCCAGGAAAAGGCAAGGGTGAAGGGCAGGGCCCAGGAGGAAAGGCTGTGGCTCTTTCTTGGGTTTCTGAGCAGCTCCCCAGTAAGAGAGACCTAGGCCCAGGCCCACGAAGACCGCAGGGCACAGGGGTGGAGGGAGCTGGAAGAACCATCAGGGGCCCTGCTGGTGTGGGCTGGGCGGAGCGTCCCCGTACACCGAAGGGCTGCGGGTTCGATCCCCAGTCAGGGCCTGGCTGGGAGACAACCATTCAAGGCTTCTCTTTCACATCTCTCTTTCTTTCTCTGCAGGCACACACCCTCCTCTCTCTCTAAAAAAATCAATCAAAATATATCCTCAAGTAAAGATTAAAAAAAAAAAAGAATCCTCAGGGCTGCAGAGAGAGAAGCTGGCCCCCAGCTCTAGGCCCAGAGGGGTGTGTTGTTCCAGGAGGAAGCAGAGCACTCCCACCCCACTTTCCAGAGGAACGGGGGGCATCGTGGTCAGGAGGGCTGCTCTCCGCAGGGTTTGGGGGACCAGAACCTAGAGGTGCAGCTCAGAAAACGTGCCTCCTCGCTGTGCTCTGCCGGCAGAACAAGCACTCTGTCGGCACCCGCTGGCATCGTGGGGCTCATGGCGACCCCCTCCACGGTGGGGGCTCAGGCACCAGGGGGCCGTGGGGCCCCTCCCTCACATATCACTGATCACCAATCACCGCGATGCCGACTTCAGCACTCTCCCTCGGAGCGGGCAGTGGTTTCGAGGGGCGAATGCCCGCGGGCTGCCCTCTCTGTGCTGCTTGAATCCGTCCAGAATCCAGGGTACATCTGTGTGGTCCATGTTCAAAAATCTCGAGATGTTAATTCGGGGCAAAATGGATGTTTAAAACTCTAGACCCGGTGCCCAGGGATGTCGGTTGCCCTCTGCATGCCCTTGGCCGCTTCCAAGCTGTGTGGCTTTGGACGTGGCTTTGGACAAATCACTATCCCTCTATGGCTCACTGTCCTTTACAGACGAGAGGTGACAGCGCAAGTCTTCCCGGGTGGCTGTGAGGATTACTACGGGAAGGGTGCAGAGTGCTTGGCGTCCAGCGGAGTTTCAGTGAAGGCCGATTCCACGTGCGGGGGCTCCTCAGACAGGGCACAAATGTACAGCAAATGCTGTTGCTGTGCGTGGCCAGAGGCAGAGCAAGTCAACCCTCCACCCAAAACCCACAAGATGGCCCAGAAAGTCAGCCACTTATTCTGGAACTGGCCCTCAGTAACCACCAGCTTAACCGATGCTAAGCTCCACCAATGGGGGCTGGGGACACAGACAAATGAGACCTTGTCACTGCCTCCAGGAAGCCCACAGACTTGTAGGAGGGACTCTGCTCAGTGGGATCAGTGTGACTGGGCAGCAGAGGGCCTGGGCAGGCCCCACAGACCCTCCTAGTCCAGGTAGAGGGAGCCTGGAGGAGGGGCACCTGGACTAAGCCGGAAAGGGTATGTAGGAGAGGAGTCCAGTAGGAGGCTAGACAGGAGACTCAGCAGGTGCAAAAGGGCAGAAAGAGAGGAGGTGGGGATTATTCGTGTCCTGAGACCCCCGTCGTTGGGTTGGGGCTGCTGCCTGAAGACCAGGATAGGAGGGCATCTACTGCATAGCGCAAAGAGGATTGCTGGGCCTGGTGATCACACAGCCTAGCCTGCAGGCTCCTCGTTTTGATTTCCCAGGAAGATCACAGGCCTCCAGGAGGCACTTCGACACCGCAGTAACCTGTTCCTCCAGCCTGGCTGCCGCGCTGGCCCTGGAGTCGGTGGGGTGGAGGGTGGGGGGGTGAAGGCCCCTACCCTACTGTGGTCTCGCCCCCCCCCCCCGCCCCGTCGCCCCGCCCACAACTGCCGCCCGCCGCCCTCTCCTGGCAGCACCTCGCCGGTGCAGCGGCGTCCAGGAAGGCAGACCTGCTGCCTTCCAGGACACCCTCTGGGCTCACAGCTAAGCCAGCCCCTTTGGGGTGAGTACTGCTGCCCATCCTTTGCTGCCTGAACCTGGCTGACCCCAGCTGACCCCGCAGAGGGAGAGGAGGCTGGAAAGGTGGGCGGGCAGGCTGGGCTGAAGGTCTTTATTCTGGGGGCAGTAGGGTGCCTTGAAAGGCATGGGAGCAGGTTGGAAGCACGTGATCTGTTAATTTCATGCTCACTCTGCTCCCGACAGCCTGGAAGAGCAAGGCGTGCAGAAGCACGGGCCGCATTGATTGACTGGAAGCAGGGAGCGGGGTCCACTGACCCCACCAGGGGAAGAGCCCACAGGAAAGGACAGAATTTGGGGTTCACACCCGGGGAAAGGCAGGCAGGCAGGCAGGCTTCCCACTGCACCCCCGAGTTGGTCTTATCACCCCAGAAGCACCTTCAAGGCTCCAGAAAAGACGCAGACCAGTCTCTAGAGATTCATGGGGTCACAGGCCTATAGAAGTGAACAACCCCCTTCCTGGAGGCCTGTGAACTGAGCCCTACAGGACACCACTCTCCTCACTGGCCAGAGCTTGCGCCCCAAACCCCGAAGGCTAACCAAACATCCTGCGTCCTTGCATTAGTCTGGAACGGTCACAGGTTGTCTCACACCTCAGTGTGCTTTGATCAGATACAGAAAGCAGCTTTATCGATTAACGCAGCTTGGTTGGAAAAAAAACCTTTCAAAACATGGAGTCTAGGATAAAACAAGGTGTGATTAAAAAGAAAAATGTAGGGGCTGATTAGCCCCGCCTGACCACACGGACAGGTGAGACTGAGCGGGAGCAGAGGCCAGGTCTCCTCCCACACCCTCGCAGGACTCTCGTTATCACTGCAGCTCCGGGGGCGGGACCAGCCTTGGGAGGCCCACGGCTGCAGCCTGTGAGCCAGGCGAGTGTGAAATCGTGGCGTCATCAGGCCCAGACCCAAGCCAACGCCTGGTCTTGCCCTGAGGAAGCCACTGCACCTCTAATGCAGGAACTGAAGATCCACGACGGGGGCAGGGGGACGGGACAGTACTGCTTGTCAATGATCCTCCTGCTACCTGCGCTGGGAGGGTGCCTAGGCACCCCTGCCCACAGGCAAGACAGGAAGCAGGCCAGCCTGCCCTCCTGAGGCATCTTTCCCTGGACAGAGAACAGGACACTGGCCCTGGCCCTGGCCCGCTTCAGTCCGGGTCCCCGCCCTCTGTCCCGTACTGCGAGTGCCTATCTGGGCCTAACTCGCTCTTGCACTCGAAGAGGCAGCCAAGGCCCCAACCGCTCAGGCCGTCTCCCACCATCCTCACAGCCCCTCTTCCTCTGTCCCTGTTGCTGTCCCAATGCCACTGGACAGTGAGTTTCTCCTGCTACAGCTTACTTTCCCCAGGGGCTGAGCTGATGATTGCCAGGCTCCAAATCTAAGACAGATGTGGACTCTTCACCTGCGGACATGCTTATTGGTTTTAGAGGAACTGAGGGAGAGAAACATCGATCAGATGCCTTTTGCATGAGCCCTGACTGGTAATCCAACTGCGACCTTTTAGTTTCTGGGACAAAGCTCCAACCCAGCCACACTGGCTAGGGCAGATGTAGGGGAAGGTTTATATAAATGAGCAAATAAAAGCAGGGGAAGAGCCCCAAGGTCCTAAAACCATGTCCGTCTGCTGGAGCCTTGAAAGGACCCGGGGAAAGGAAATGAAAAGACATCGTCACATTTTGTGTGTCTGCATCGAATTTCCTTAAGAAACTTCCATTTCTTAACAGTAGTTCGTGTTTCTCCCAATTCCCGAAGGCAGGGGTGGGGAGGGCGAGCGGGGGAGGATGCAGTGAGCACACACTGGACGCAGGCGGCAGTCCCCCAACCCCTCCACCCGACACTGCCTTCCACAAGGGTTTAGACAGAATACGCCTTCCACGGGGATTTCCATGCTCATTTTATTTCAACAGTCAACTTGTCCCCAGAGAAGAAATTGCTGATGTCGTAGGCACTTTGGAAGCACCATTCTATTCTCTGAGAACAGCATAAGTGCTTACAAATGGCCCACTTTTTTAAGTTGGCAAGCACTATAAAAACACTAAATAATAAAACTGTAATAGATTTTTTAAAAACTACAAATGATGCCTATAAATGGCTTAAACTTTATGGAGGGGAGGAGAAGCGGCCCCAGTGGTCACAATGCTTACTGGCAGGGCCCCATGGAGAAGGGGCAAGGGGCAGTGGCTAGGTCGGCCACAGGGGGCAGAGCAGCGAAGGAGGACATTCCAGAACCTGCTGTCAGTGCCCTGGTCCTGGCTGCTCGCATCGGCCCCCTGAACGCGCTGGAAGCCTGGTGTTCGTGCTGCCCCCGGCTGGGGACAGGCCAAGGCAGAAGGCCGAAATGCATGGCACCTCCTGTCGGGGGCGGGTCTGAGGAAATCAAAGGACACCTCCAAGGGGAAGTCTCATAAAGGGCAGCACAACCCAGAGATGGTTAAATTCATTCCTAAACGTGAGTTCCCACCAGCCCCCCTCCTCAGAGCCCTGGTCCTCCCCCGGGAATTTCTTCCTCCCTTCTCCTGTACAAGCTCACATCTCAGGATTGAGAGAAACTTAGAAACCACCCTCTTTCCTCCTATCTTGAAGTGGGAATTAACTCTATCTTATGTCTATCACTACCCTCCCTCCCTGCACAGCACTGAACACGATAAGAACACCTCAGCAGCCACACCCCCGCTGCCCTGCTCCACAGGCCCAGGGCCCGGGCCTAGTCGGACTGCTCCTGAGACGCAGGCTGGCCGGGCTCAAGTGGTGCCTCTGCATCCTGGTCATCTGCAAAGAACAAACAAGAGGGACTGGACTTAGAAGTAGGAAAATTACTTATTTTCAGGCCCTAAGAAGAATTAATTTGCCTTTAATTTGCCAGGTGTGAGGAGACTGGAAGTCTAGTCCCCATTTGATACAGGCTCAAGTTCAAACTCCAGTCCTGCCTGTCACGGGCTGGGCGGCACGGCACAAGCTGCCTCGAAGCTCTGACCCCAGCTCCTCCCCCTGCCGAACGAGATGACCCCTGCCTGGCAACATCAGGCTGGCACGGGGACCAGGTACAACGGTCAGTGAGAACCAACTCTCACTAGTGTCTCCATCACTGCAGCTTCTGTAACCCTCAGAACAGCCTCACGAGGTAGGGGGCGCTCTCAACCCACTTTTGCAGATACTGACGCTGAGGCCCCAAGGAGTGAACTAACTTGCCCAAGGTCACAGGGCTGGTAAGTGCGGGAGCCTGGCTGGTCAGCACCGAGGCCAGCGTGCGTCCTTCAGGCCACCGCTCCAGCTCACAGATCCGGGCAGCTCACACACAGCGCGCGTGCAGCAGGCCTCGGTGTCCCATTCCCTGAAACAGGAATGGTGTCGGCAGACGGACCCAGCTCAGGAACTCTTTCTGACAGTCACTGGGAGGGCTGTGCTGAGTTTGCCAACCATTTCCAAATCATTTCTTTTCCTGAGAGGTGTCAGGAGAGGATCGAGATTAAAAAAAAATCCTTTAACATAAAAGTAACGCAACCCAGAGATGGTTGAATTCATTCTGCAAAGGGCCCTTAAAAGAAAACCCAAAGCATTTTCACATTCAGAATTTCAGTTGACCTTCACAGTCAGCCAACGAAGGGGCTCACTTTACGGAAGACTGAGGCCCAGAGAAGGGTTGTGACTGGCGAACCTCGCCCGGCGCACCGGAGGCAGCGCTGCGCAGGCCGGGTCTCCAGCTCCGGGGCAGGTTCCCTCTCCAGAGTGGCCAGGAGAGGACCATCCCCACCAGACCGGAAGTGGCTCCTGCTGCTGCTCCAGGCCACGCACTTGCTGCTTCCCCCGCCACAAAGGCCTGGCACCTCTCTTCTGAACACACCACACTCATGCCTGCCTCCACACCCCTGCCCACAGGCCCTGAAGAGCCATTTCTGGATAAAGCACTGCAGCCAGACATAGAATTCTGTTGAAATCTGAGCCATGCCATTTACATCTCTGAGAACCGCTCAGGGTTCTGTTGACTTCCTCAGCTGAGATGGGCACCCCCTCCCCTTTGCCTGTGCATGGAATTTAAGGGGGTGTAAGGAAAGAGCTTGTCCCAGGACCGGCACATTTTAATTCTGTTCTCCATCTCCCCTCTCTCCACATCTACTTCAGGTTAGCCCCCTTGCTCCAAAAAGGCCTCCCGGCTCACCCCCACACTAGAAGGCTGGTACTCACTCACCAGCGGTCTCCTGGTCCGTATCAGAATGCATGGGCAGTGAGAAGGATGCTGGTGGTGGTGGCGGTGGCAGCGGCGGCAGGAAGTGGATCGCAGAGAGGAAGCCTGGTGGGAGGAACTGGGGCTGGGGTGACAGCGGCGGCGGTGGTGGCAGCAGGGTGGGCGGCGGCAGCAGGGTGGGCGGCGGGGGGTAGCTTGGCTGGAAGTCTTCCCCTGGCTCCGATACCTGCGCGGCACACTCAGCAGAGAAGCCAGACAGGGAGACGGTTAGCCAGACGGGCTGATTGGACATGTCCCATCTCCCAAATGGGGCGCTCCCCATGGGCTAGATTCACCTGTGCAGCCCAAACACCTGAACAGGAGGCACTTGAAACCAGGTGTTCAGCAGACACCCACCTAACCACGGAAGGCAAGAAGGTGCGCAGGCACATCTCACCTCAGCCTGGGGAAGAGCCGCCCAGTGGCCGGGACTGAGCCTGCCGCCTGTGCTTAGACCTGTTACCTTGTTCCATCCTGATGACCCACGGAGGGCTGCTCTCTCCCCACCCCCACTGTAATGGCGAAAACCAGCATCCGTGGAATGAAGCTACGGTCCCTGGGCCGCAGGGCTGGCGAGTGGCTGAGGCAGGACTGGACCCCAAGTCTGCGTGACCCTGCTGCTCTGGGCAAGGGTCAGGTGCATCCCCAACCTCTTGTGGAGATCCCACCTCCTGGCACACATAATGCCTTGTCGTTAAGAGTCAGGGAGTCTTCAGGTGCCCTATTCTAACAGGACAGAACACCTGGGTGTATGTAGTGCAGCTATTACTGAGTCGGGGAAGCTGGGTGACCTCAGGAAAGTGGCTTCAGCCATCAAGCATCCTGTGCTTCTGTTCCTTCTTCAGAAGATGGCAGCTAGCCCCAGGCCACTGGACCCCAGGGCCGGAAGGAAGGGATCTGGAGGGGCAGTGACTGCGCAGCTCAAAGTCTAACTGAGAAAGACATGAGTATACTAAAAAATAACAAGGAATTTCAGATGTAGTTCCTATTATTTATTCTCCATCCAGATACTTTAGAGCAGCACTTCACAAACTGTGTTCTGGAGAATCCTGGTGTCCTACGAGGTATTTTTAAAGTGCTTTTCAGTGTTCTTTGTCCAGGGAGTTGGAGAAACTCCACACACTGCCCACACAATGGCGAGTCACACATGAGAATATTAAAGCCCGGAGGCCATCTGCAAAAATCTCCTTAGATTAATCCAGCATTTCCTAACTTAATGTGCCCACAAAGAAGGAAAGAAAGCCTACTTTTAAGTACCTACTATACGCCAGACCCTGCGCCAGGCACCCTATTTAATCTGTCGATGGCCCCGTGAGATGGGTACTCTCACCCCCGCTGACAGACGGAGAACCTGAGTGAGGGCCGCAGAAGTAGGTGACTTCCCCAGGCCACACAGCCCGTGAAAAGGAGGACTGGACACCAGGTCTGTCCAACTCCAGGTCTGTGATCTTTTGTGGGGAGAAAACAGGGGGAGCGAGGCAGTGGCAGGTGGGACAGACACAGAAAGAGAAGGCAGACGATGTCCCTGGGGAGTGTGCGGGTGCTGGGCAGGGGGAGCGGGACAAGGATGAAAGCCATTCACAGGCTCTTCTTGGTCTGAAACAGCTTTACAAATAAACGCTGGATCTTCTACACAGACATGAAATGGGTGGGAGGGGGATCATCAGTGCTTTAATTCCAAGCTACTCAGCCAAGTTTCCCCTGGATGGCAGCTCCTGCCTGGGGCCTGTGGTGGCAGCGCAGGCCCACACAAACCAGCTGAGATCACACTCTTTAACAATGGCCGTCTGGCGGGCTGTCAATCAGAGCCCTGCTCTGGACGCCGGGCTCCAGGCTTCTGTGTGAGCAGACGGTGGGTGGGGTGCGTGCTCCACTTGGCCACGACCCCTCTCTTTGTGTGGAGGCTAGAGACGCCACACTGTCCCTGGGGCTGCAAGGGAGTGGCCAGTACCCACAGATTTCAGGGGGGGCAGGGTGGTGGCGAGAGTCTTATTTACTCTACCTCTGCAAGAGAGATAGGCTTAGGGTAGCAGAAAGCAGCCAGATCCAGAGTGGGGCAGCCCGGGTGCACGTCCTGTTTCCATTATGGACCTGCTGATAATTTGGATCCCAGTCCCTCACCAACCAGCTCTGGGACCTTGGAGAGATACAGAACTTCTCCAAGCCTTCATCCTCTCCTCTACAATGAAATAACAACACATGCCTTGAAGACTCAAATAAGGGTCAGTAGATGCCCTAGAAATTAAGAACAGTGGTTTTCAGATTGTCCCTGCTTGAATCAATGGAAAGTGATGCACACATAGAACTTTACAATGTCTGAACAGAGAGAAGGGGCCCACCGAGGCTGAGGCAGGAGTAGGGGTCCAGCACCCTGCGCAACTGACCTGCCTGGGCAGAGCTAGGGCTCCGTCGAACTGGCTCCACATGCTGTGGCGAGTGACCCTCACTATGTAAACGTTGAGCTTTCACCTTTTTTCTTTATCGCTTTCCACATTAAACCAAACAAGCCTGCTCTCTCCCTCTTCCCCACCCTCCACTCGAGGGAACATCTCTCTAACACTCAAGGTTAGGCTTTTCGCTCTGAGGGAAGGATAAAGGTGATGGTGGTCTACATTTCCTTGACCGTGAGCTGCACTGGAGCCAGCCTCCTCTCCAGGTCCAGCCTCACGGGCCCAAAGTCAGGACTGGCCCCCCAGGCCTTTCACTGCCCTGCCTGCAGTCCTGGCGGCCCCCAGGGAGACGGCTTTAAACTGTCCTGGTCCGGAAGTAGCTGGTAACTAAAGCCACAAAACCCAGTCACCCCGACTTGTATCTCATACAGCAGGGACGGCCTGCCTTACACACCAATACTCAAAACTCCAGGCCTGTGGAGCACACCGGTTTTTAACTGACCGCTGATCTTATGAAAAGACTGAACATCATTCCTTCTTTCAACACGTATTTCCTAAGGTGACAGGTGTTTGGGGGAAAGGTTTCCATAGTTTTCACGACTAACCTTAAATGGCACTTCCTCCTGAAAGAACTCTGCAGTCTCAAGTGGGCCATACCTTTGGGTGGGAGACCTGTGTCTGCTCCTGCCTCTGCCCTGAACGGATGGCTCCAGGAAAGTGGCATTTCCCTTCCAGTGCCCGGCAACACGAATGGCCCTGCGAGCACCAGCACTCCACGGGCCTGAGCAGGTGGTCACTCAGTCATTGTTCCCCAGCTCATCTGAGATGCGTCTGAGCTCCCAGAGCTTTCTAGTCTACAATTCTAAAAGGCAAATGCCACAGCCCAGGCTGACCTGTGTACACATGACTGGACCTGGACTTATGTACACAGTACACAGATGCACTTCCAGAGGTGCACACTGGACAAGGAAGCCCACTGGCGTCCTGGAATTGAGCACATATACGTGCAAGAGCAAATGGGATGAGGAGGAACCCGGAAAGGAGTCAGGGTGGCACTCACCGAGCCTCCTCCGTGGTAGGGGCTGTAGGACACGTGCCGGAAGCCCTGCTGCAGAGGGATCCCCAAGCCTGGGGACACATCCTGGTAGCCCAGCGGGAATGGGTGATAGGGGTACATGCTGGAGCAGCTGGGATACAGCTTGGATGGATCTCTCTCCAGGTACTCAGACCCCACCACAGAATCCGAGTGGATGTTCAAAGAGAGCCCTACAAAGGCAAGCAATGAGGGCAGCATTAAAAACACAAAGAGCTGGGGAAAAGAGCATCACATTACTATCCAAAGACAGGTACAGTAAACACTCAGCTCCATTTACAAAGAACTCCCACATCCATTATGCTTTTGACCCTCCCCACTTTTTAAACCTTTCAGCCACATCCCATGGCTTGAAAAAATCCTGGGCACGGCCACGAAGCCCACTCGGGCTGACTCCTGCTTCCACTCCAGCCTCCTCCAGTGCGATAAACTAGCAGTTTCTTCTTTCGCATCCACCTCAAGGCCTCCGCAGATGCTGTTCCCTCATCTTGGAAGGCGTTCTCCCCTAAACCCACTTGGCCTCCTCAGTACTCAACTTCTCCCCTTCCTTAGGACCGCAGCTAGACCATTAACGGTTAGAGAGTTCTACACAACGAGTTGTGTGATTCTCTGATCGGTGCCACTCCTCGCACACAGACAAGATCCCTGAGGGCAAGGGACTGGACTTCAATCCCCGTTGCCAGTTCATCACTATTGTCTGGCACCTAGTTACGCGCTCAGTCCCCCACGTTGAGTGAAGGAACAAAGTAAGGCATCGGTCGGTGGAAAGGTATCCTTCCACAGGACTGCTGTTCTCTGGGGACCAGGTTTTCCTAGTATATCCCAGAAGACAGAAACGGCCTACAGGGTGCACGCGGGCTAATCCTCCTAACGCACAGGCGGAAGGCGCTGGCCGAAGGTGGCAGAGTGCGTGGCCCATCCCCGGACCCAGACGTGTGCGCCTCCCGTCGCCCCACCCAGGAAAAATCAACAGGGATCTTAATTAAAAACCAGCCATTTTCCTAAAAGCCTCAAATCTACATGTGACTTGAAGTTGCACTTTAATACTGAAAGCATAATATTCATAGGGTCAACGTAATTTATGCACATGGTGGGCAGGAAAAAGTAGACAGCATCTCAAGAAACCAACTTTCTCCTCCTGCATGGAGCAAAAAAAAAAAGCTGTCCCATTCCCACCCACCCACACCCAGGGACAGGTGGGAGAGGGTATGAACCTGGGTGCACATGCACCCTGGGCCGTGGATTGGATAAGGGGAGGGGCCTCCAGAATGCAGAAAGGGACGGAAGGGTGGCCAGGCACAGGAAGTCCTACAGGAGGAGGGGGCAGGGTGGGGGGAAGCTCCTACCCAAGAAATGAGCGGGAAAAGGTGCTCAGGCAGACTGAATGAAGGTAGAGTTGAAGAGAAGCCTTCTAGAAAGAGCCGTCAGCTCTCGGAAAAGGTGGAGGAATGCGCAGGCGCAGTGATCATTGTGCTGGCCCACCCAGAGATGGCCTGGAGGGAGGTGCCTCCAGCCCAAGAAAAGGGCGGGAAGAGGTGCGCAAGCGCAGTAGGGCCAATGTCTCCTCAAGAAGGCCCGACTAAGGGGACTGGAGGCCATTTTATCCTTGCAAGACAGAAAGATAAGCGTTGTAGTTAAGTATTGAAAACCGTCTGCACCACCCACTGCTATCTCTTGTACCTTTTTTGCAAAAAAGCACTCAACCCAAATCCGTATTCAGAGAAAGTTTTCTTAAAGCAAGTTTACTTCGGAAAGCATTTTCCCCACCCCCCTCCCCAAAGTCCCATCCGGGGACGCCAACATGGGGTGCCGGGAGGCTGCAGCCCTGACAGGAACCAATGGCAGAGGAAGGCTGCATGGAGCCTGGGAGTCTTACCAAAGGCGAATGACGAGCTGGGAATGGGCCGCAGTGGCCTACGCGTCTCCATGTGGCCAGAACCTCCCGTGCTGGTGGCCTCCGCCCCGACCTGGGGCCCCACGAAACCCGGAATGGCCACAGCAGCTTGCTTGCCTGCACCGGTGTGGCCGCCGCCGGCCAGAACTGGCTGGAAGGCGCTGGGGCCAGGGCTTGGGCCGTGCGGTGGTCTCTCCTGCAAGTAGGTGGCCGCGCGGTCCTCAGGGCCCGGCTCCAGGTCTCCAGAACTGGCCAGCGGAGGAAGCGGGCGGAGGCTGGACGCCGGGGCCACAGCTTCGGCCCGGGAGGCTAGCGCCTGATCCTCGTCGGAGGCCTGCTTCCTGAGCATTTTCTGTGCGGCCATGATCTTCTGGCGTTCAGTGATAAGGTAGCACTTGTCGCAAGTGCACTGCTTCCAGCGACAGTTGCCCGCGTGGCCCTTGACTGCCACCAGGAAGCCATGGTTCCGGCACCGCGAGCATTTAGGGGTGCGCAGCATCTTGTCGGCCAGCTTGGCAAGGTCTGCCTTCATGAAAACAACCGCCACCTCTAGAAGCTGCGGAGCAAGTGAAGCGGGAAGAGCAGAGCCCCAGAAGTCCCTGGTGCTGGGGACATTGGATACACTTGTAACAAAGTTGTTCTCCATACATCCCGGGAACTGCAGCAAGACCCCTTGCATTTTCTCAACTTTGGAAGGGGGGATGGTGCAAAATTTGGAGTTTCTGTGCCTTGATTAATCAGATGCAAGGGGTTGGGTTGAATAAATTCTATATGGAACGCTGTTGCATGTATGTCATCTGGGTTATCTGAAGTCGTAGGCATTTAATTTTCTGAAATTTCTATTCTTATTACCCCAGAGACAAAGTATTTTGTAACTTCAAAAGAGGCGGAGTAATGTTCAACGGTCCACAGATTTAAAACTCCAGAGGAATGTAGCTCTCAGTAAACCCATTCCAGTAGAAAAGCTTTCTAAGATAAAAACCCTGTTTCGCCTACCAAAAGCTGTTGCTGAATTTCATTTCTCGCCCCTGCGGAGAAGCAGCCGTTCACGGTGATGCTTCCAGAATATTCTCAAGAGCTCTGAGCAGTGTGATAGTGGCTCATGGTTGTGTCCTTATAGTAGTTCCCATATAAGACTGTTTCTGGAAGATGGCATGTTGCTGTTTGTGATGCCTTCCAAAGTAAAGCATGCTTAAAATGCTTTAAGGTAAAATAGACCTAGGATATTTTAGCATGAGTTTGACTCATTGCTTAACTTTGCCACGAATTTAGTTATACCTGTAAAGCAACCCGAATCTTGGGATGCCTAAAAGCTGGCATGAATTTCATAGTTTCCCAAGGCAACTAAATTATTTCATTTCCTTGTGTGATCGAAACTTGTGACACCCCGAGGCCTTTTTTTTTAAGTCCCTAAAAAGAAAAAAAAAATGGGCCACTCACAGCTAAGTTGAAAGCTTATAATCATAGAATCAATCATGTTTAAGAAGGTAGTCAGGGTTACCATTTGACTAAAATGTGCACTTTAAATTTCCCTTTCTCTGAAACTCTGCTAGTAGAATGTTCTGTAGAAGCTAAGGCCCAGCCAGTGTCCTTCTTGATTATCCTGTGCCTCTGAACTACACAGTGCAGCTGGTTGCAGCTGGTTGCAGCTGAACTGTGTATTTCTCACCAGCTGCCTGAGAATAGGAAATGTTTGCCATTCTGAGGCTGATTCGAGACTGAAAGGCTGAATAGGGGGTTGTAAAGCCTTTTTTTCTGTTTGAAAGAAATACATTCATATCTTATTAAAAGGGTAAGAGTATAAACTTCTGTATTATGTGGCCTTTCAGGAATTTCACTGGTAATTTTACATCCATTTGAAGAGACCTAGGTTTGTCTCTGATAAAAGGGCAGGCAAGTTCTTTTCTGACTCCACCCAACTCAAAATAATTTTTTACTGACTGTCATTTGAAAACGGTACTTAAAAATCATAGCTCCAGTACTACGGTTAAAAATCTAGGGCATAAGCTTCATTGTTTCATGATACTGCAAATTTAAGGTCACTTTCTGCATTATTGAATTTAAAACTTTGACATTAGATGACATCGAATGATAAGGCCTAAAAAAAGAAAACCACTCTCGTTTACATTTCATGTTTGACCACCTAAATTCTCTTCATTTTCCTATTAATGATTTAAAAGAAAATCCTGTTCAAAGCCAACTCTTTGAATTAACATATTTCAGCCATGTTAACTACAAAATGTTTTTACATTTATTTCATAGGTTTAGGGGCAAAATATATCCAAGGTGATGTGAATTTGCATAGTGCTTTAGAATATTAATAAACAACCATATATCTTTCTAATCAGTAGTCACATTGTACAATGTAGAAACCCCAAGGTTTATATAGTATGTAAATCTAAGAGAAAGAAAAAGGCTGGTTTATTTCTCTTCCCCCCTAAAGTCTCAATTTATATAGGTAAATTCCAACAGAGCTTTATTTATTTCACTCTTGGAAATTCAGTCAAATTGATAGTTTTGTTTTATTTAGTTTGAGGACTGATTACTTCTTAGGCTGCTGCTTTTTTTTAACGTATACGTTTCTTTAAATTGTTCTTTAAAAAGGTGGTAACAGATGGTAAGGACATCAAAGTGAAAAACTGGAAGTCAAAAGGATGGGAGCAGTAAGTACACAACATCCCCTTTCTTCCCCACACCTAAACCTTGGGAAATTCATGTTCCAGTCAGTCTGCATCGTCATAAGCAATGGTTTGTAAAATAACAAGTTATAGTTGCTGGGGAATCACCAGTTTGACTAATTGACAGTAAAGGGGCTGGCTGGTGGCCATGTCTGACTCCCAGCTTCAGTAACGGACTCCTTTCCCTTGGAGTCCCAAGTTTCTTACCTTGAATAATGCCTCTACTCTTTGGTTAATGTGGTTGCTATTGGTACTGTTTAATTCATATTCATTTTAAAGAGCCCTGTATTATGCAATGCATGGAGTATCATTTATAATCATTAAATGTTGTATGCACTGTGAGTTTTCCTTAATGGTGGCACCCAAGAGTAAGGAAGGCCTTTTTTGCCAATAGCATCTTTCCCCCAGCAGCAGATAACCCAGATCATCTGCTCTCTTTCCCTTCTTCAGGCTTTCTCAAGTGAGCAATGAAAACTTTACTGAAGATTTTGTAAGGGGTGGAGGGGAGGATTTACAAGACACATCCTAGAGCAAATGCTTTAAAAAGCCTGCCTCAGCATTTCTGTTTTCTCAGGATCTGACTCTGCTGGGCCACACCCACTGGAGAGAAAGTGGTCTGTTGTCCCTCTTCTCCCCAGGCCCCACCCAGTCCCCAGTCTCTAGCTTTTCCTCCCTAGGATTTTGTAAGTATATTTTATTGATTATGCTGTTACAGTTGTCCCAATTTTTTTCTCCCCTTTATTCCCCTCCCTGCACTGCCCCCCACCCCTTAGTTCATGTCCATGGGTTGTACATGTAAGTTCTTTGGCTTCTCCACTTCCTATACTATTCTTAACCTCCCTCTCTTTTGTGCCTGCCATTCATGCTTCTTGTTCCCAGTACCTTTTCCCCCATTCTCTCTGCTGATAAACTTCTGTGTGATCTCCATTTCTATTATTGTGTTCCTGTTCTAGTTATTTGCTTAATTTTTGTTTTTTAGGTTCAATTGTTGATAGTTGTGAGTTTATTGTCATTTTAATGTTCACAGTTTTTGATCTTCTATTTCTTAGATAAGTCCCTTTAACATTTCACATAATAAGGGCTTGGTGATGATGAACTCCTTTAACTTGACCTTATCTGAGAAGCACTTTATCTGCCCATCCATTCTAAATGACAGCTTTGCTAGGTAGAGTCATCTTGGATGTAGGTCCTGCCTCTCCTGACTTAGAATACTTCTTCCTAGCCCCTTCTTGCTTGCAAGCTTTCTTTTGAAAAATCAGCTGACAGCCTTATGGGAACTCCTTTGTAGGTAACTGTCTCCTTTTCTCTTGCTGCTTTTAAGATTCTCTCCTTATCTTTAATTTTAGCTAATGTAATTATGATGTGCCTTGGTGTGTTCCTGCTTGGGTCCAACTTCTTTGGGACTCTCTGGACTTCTTGGAAGTCTATTTTCCTTCACCAGATTGATGAGTTCTTCTTCATTATTTGTTCAAATAAGCTTTCAATTTCTTGCTATTCCTGTTCTTCTGGCACCCCCATGATTCAGATATTGGAATGCTTAAAGTTCTCCCATAGGTTCCTAAGCCTCTCCTTATTTTTTTTGAAATTTTGTTTCTTCATTCTGTTCTGGTTGGATATGTATTTCTTCCTTTTGTTCCAAATCATTGATTTGAGTCCCAGTTTCCTTCCCTTCACTGTTCATCCCTGTATATTTTGCTTTATTTCACTTTGTGTAGCCTTTATTTCTTCCTCCATTTCGTGACCGAGCTCAGTCAATTCTGTGATCATCCTATTACCAGTGTTTTAAACTCTGCATCAGATAGGTTGTCTGTCTCCTGGTCACTTAGTTATTTTTCTGGAGTTTTGATCTGTTCTTTCACTTGGGCCATATTTCTTTGTTTCAGCGCACCAGTCTGGGACTTTTCTTTAACTCCTTGGTTGTTGGATCTCCATGCAAATGATTTTCTGGCAGTTCTGATTGTTCTTTGTTTTTAAATTGGTTGTTATCCTTCTTTTGGTTGTGAGAGGAAGTGGAGCGTTTCTGCCTACGCCTCCATCTTGGCCAGAACTCTCTTTCCTATATTTTTGAGAGCTCTGTAACAGCTGTGACTCTCTTATTTTCCTTTATGTCTAGCACAAAATAGACATTCAGTAAATATTTGTTGAATGTATAAATGAATCTTGCCTCCCTCTCCTGCCAATGTCAAAGTTATAATTGGCACTGTAAATCAACTTGGCTGCAGCAACTCTCCCCAAACGTTACACAAACAGAAAGCCCAGAGTGAATAGGACCACTCTCCTGACAAGCAGAATTTTGGAATCAACTTCGGTCCCTTGAACTCCCCCATCCCTAATGGTTTAATAATAGTAATAGTAATAGCTAGCACTGAGTATGTATATGTGACAGTAATTCTTAAGTTATCTGTGTGCATTAATTCATAAAATCTTCACAACAGCCCTCTAAGGTAGGTACTATTATTTTCACCCATGTTTTATACATGAAGAAACTGAGGCCTAGAGAAGTCAAGTAACTTGTCGAAAGTTTTATAGCCTTTAAATGGCAGAACCATGATTCAAAACCAGGAAATCTATCCTCAAAGTCCATGTTCTTAACCATGTATCTGCTAACTCAATATTTCTTTTGAACAAACACAGTGCTGTCCCCAAGAAAACTTTGGTGATGAGTAGAAATGCTTGCCTTCTTACATACCCCATTACAGTTGGGGTGAAAAAGGGTAAAGTTGGTAGGAGCCTGGGGAAATTTCCTAGGACGCCCTGCTTAGTTGTTTCCCTCCACCCACAGCCAATGTTTGTCACCAACTATGGGCTAAACATAAGGGACACAGAG